TAATCTACCCCAGGATTGTGTGTAAGATTAACTCTAATCTACCCTAGGATTGTGTGTAAGATTAATTCTAGTCTATCCCAGGATTGTTGCGTAAGATTAACCTTAATCTACCCCAGGATTGTGTGTAAGATTAACTCTAATCTACCCCAGGATTGTGTGTAAGATTAACTCTAATCTACCCCAGGATTGTGTGTAAGATTAACTCTAATCTACCCCTGGATTGTGTGTAAGATTAACTCTAATCTACCCCAGGATTGTGTGTAAGATTAACTCGAATCTACCCTAGGATTGTGTGTAAGATTAACTCTAATCTACCCCAGGATTGTGTGTAAGATTAACTCAATCTACCCCAGGGTTGTGTGTAAGATTAACTAATAAACCCCCGGATTGTGTGTAAGATTAACTCTAATCTACCCCAGGATTGTGTGTAAGATTAACTCTAATCAACCCTAGGATTGTGTGTAAGATTAACTCTAATCAACCCTAGGATTGTGTAAGATTAACTCTAATCAACCCCAGGATTGTGTGTAAGATTAACTCTAATCTACTCCAGGATTGTGTGTAGGATTAACTCTAATCTACCCAAGGATTGAGTGTAAGATTAACTCTAATCTACCCCAGGATTGTGTGTAAGATTAACTCTAATCTACTCCAGGATTGTGTGTAGGATTAACTCTAATCTACACGAGGGTTGTGTGTAAGATTAACCATAATCTACCCCAGATTGTGTATAAGATTAACCATAATCTACCCCAGGGATTGTATGTAAGATTAACTCTAATCTACCCCAGGATTGTGTGTTAGATTAACTCTAATCAACCCTAGGATTGTGTGTCCTCTGATTAAACGCCCTGGGAATAAGAAAACAATGGCGGGGTGGGGAAACAATGGGGGTGAGGAAATAACAGGGTGGGGGTAGGGGCGAACCAACATGTCGGCGTGGGGTGGGGAACAAAGGCACCGACAGGGAAAATAAAAGCTTGAGGGTGGGGGAAATGTGGAAGAGATAGAAGGCTGGTGTTACATAAACATAATTATTTGTTGTTTGTGTGGGGGTGGGGGAGAGGGATGGAAGCACGATAGAATCAAATAGAAGATTGGAGATATGTAAAAAGAACTTGTGTGTGTGTGCGTGTGTGTGTGTGTCTGTGTGTGTGTGTGTGTCTGTGTCTGTGTGCTGGGGGATAGAGATGGATGGACGTAGCAAGACAGGAAGAAATAGAAGTTTGGTGCTATGAAAATGGTTTGTTGTTTGTGAGGGGTGGAGTGGGGTGGGGAGGTTGATGAAATAAAGGGTTGGGGTATGACAAACGGTATGGAGTTTGTGAAAGGGATATGATAAGGAGGGAAGGGGGGGGGCGGACAAAAAGTTTAGAGGGACTGGGGTATGTGGGGAGGGGGGGGAGGTGTGTAATGAGTGCAGGGGAGACTAGGTGAGGTAGGGAATGTGTAAATTGGGTGTTGTTGGTCCGGGGGTGGGGGGCTGGGTTGTGGGTAAGGTAGACGATACTAGGGTGTGGATGCGACAGGTGTGAGTGGTATGTGGGGGCAGGTGACCAAAAGGCTGATCTTTATGTGAGTTTTGTGTTGGATAATTGTGCTGGGTACTTGTGTTGGGTACTTGTGCTGGGTACTTGTGGTGGGTACTTGTACTGGGTACTTGAGTTGGGTACTTGTGCTGGGTACTTGTGCTATGTACTTGTGGTGGGTACTTGTACTGGGTACTTGAGTTGGGTACTTGTGCTGGGTACTTGTGCTGGGTATTTGTAGTATTGTTTTATTGAAATTCATTGGGTCATTGGAAAAAGTGAGTTGTCAATGTCACTATATACGGTGTAACTCAATGGTCTTTTAAGGACCGTCCAATGTTGTAAGTAATGATGAACCAATGTTATTGAGAGATACATACTGAATGTTTGCTCATATCAAAGGAACATACTTATACTATGTGTTTAATGAAGTATGTCTTTAAGGAATGCAAACTGTACATTTGTCGAAGTGTAAGAACAAAGAAGCTAAGGTATATTTACAAAATATTTATTTTACATTTTCTATAGAATGACATAAGTTTATGACTGAATGGAAGAGACAAATACGATTGACTGAATGAAAGTTTAGCAAAAATATTTAGCAACATTTGAATCAGATAATATATGTAATGAGCATGTATATAAGATCTATTATAAGATCTTTAATTATTTTAAAAAGATACACTTTATGTGGTTTGGTGATCAATTGTTTCACATAACGTCATGATTTCAGTACCATGTTAAAGACTTCGTGTGCTTAAGTTGAAGTGATGCTGTCTTTATGTGCTAAATGCATCATGTCCTGGTGATGTTGTCATGTCCTGGTGATGTCATGTCCTGGTGATGTTGTCATGTCCTGGTGATGTTGTCATTATGTCCTGTTGATGTTGTCATGTACTGTTGATGTTGTCATGTCCTGGTGATGTTGTCATTATGTCCTGGTGATGTTGTCATTATGTCCTGGTGATGTTGTCATTATGTCCTGGTGATGTTGTCATTATGTCCTGGTGATGTTGTCATGTCCTGTTGATGTTGTCATTATGTCCTGGTGATGTTGTCATTATGTCCTGGTCCTGGTGATGTTGTCATTATGTCCTGGTGATGTTGTCATGTCCTGGTGATGTTGTCATTATGTCCTGGTGATGTTGTCATCATTTCCTGTTGATGTTGTCATGTCCTGTTGATGTTGTCATTATGTCCTGTTGATGTTGTCATTATGTCATGGTGATATTGTCATGTCCTGGTGATGTTGTTATGTCCTGTTGATGTTGTCATTATGTCATGGTGATGTTGTCATTATATGCTGGTGATGATGTCATGTACTGGTGATGTTGTCATTATTTCCTGTTTATGTTGTCATGTCCTGTTGATGTTGTCATGTCCTGGTGATGTTGTCATTATGTCCTGGTGATGTTGACATTATGTGCTGGTGATGTTGTGTCCTTGTGATGTTGTCATTATGTCCTGGTGATGTTGTCATGTCCTGTTGATGTTGTCATTATGTCCTGGTGATGTTGTCGTATTCTTGTGACGTTTTCGTGTCCTGTTGATGTTTACGTTTTCTACGTTGAGCTAATAAAGTCATCCCGACATTATCATCTGTATGTTGTCATATTGTCATGTTACATTCTTCATGTCAGGTAAAATGTCATGTAGATGAACACTGGTAAAAGTATAAGTTTTCATGTCACTTAGAATGTCATGTTTTCATGTCACTTAGAATGTCATGTTTTCATGTCACTTAGAATGTCATGTTTTCATGTCACTTAGAATGTCATGTTTTCATGTCATGTAAAATATCATTCTTTTAAAGCCCATGAGAAGCAAAGGGCTGCGGCTACACTTCTCCACTGAGTTTTGGGCAGATCTCTTTAGTTCAGCCCACGTCAGCCCAGTAGCCCTTGCTTCTCCTTTGTAACATTAAGTAATACATAAATATGTCAGGCATTAGGCAAAATCATTCATGTGTGATTTTATATTACAACTGTATTGATAATCTTATAACTGATATCGATGTTACAAATGATATTGATGAAGTTACAAATGATGTCACTAGTTTTTACATTTTTATTCCTGCTTTATCCATTGGATGGATGGTTATTATCCACAGTTCTACTTTATCCACTCACAAGCCTTATCCAAATCACAGATGGTGTATATCACAGTTCATCCTGCCCATTTGTATCCATAAGATGGCGGGTATATATCCACAGTTCTTTATCCAAAGGATGGCTGGTGTATATCCACAGTTCTTCAGCTTTATCCATATGATGATGGTCTATATTCTCGTGTTATCCAACCTTGGAAGCCATATCTTATCCAACTATGGCTTTTTCTTTTCATTTTCTGAACTGTGGATCCTTCACTTTATCACATTTTTCTCACATTTTTTACTCTGTTTATCACATTTTCTGATATACTTCACATCTTACATCGTTAACTTCACATTGTTTGATCACATTTTTCTCATATCTCAGCCTTGTAGTGGTGTCTTGAAGCATTGTGGCCAGCATACATTAACCCTTCACTGTCTAATAGAGACACACCATAGCCTTTGATAAACTTCGTCTTTAACCCTTCACTCTCTGACACAAGGTGCCGTAGCCTTCGATACACTTCGTCTTTAACCCTCCACTGTCTAATAAAGACAGAAGGTGCTGTCGCTTTTCATACACTGTTATTAACCCTCCACTGTCTGATTTAAGACGCGTGGTACTGTAGTCTTTCTTACGCTTTTAATTAACCCTCTACTCTCTGATCACGGATGTAGAAATATGAAACAAATATAAACATTCGGTTTTGGCCATTTGTCACAAACAAGTCACAATTTTACGGATGTACATTATGTTTTTAAATATCTAAAGACAATTTTAATCTCAAACAAATCTATTGTTGTATGTACACACAAGTTTGATCTATGGACCAAGATCTACCAACCAGAGGGGTATGTTAATCAAAGAACAAATACAGTGGAGATCTTAAAGCAACATGGTTTAGGTGTCACCTTGGTAAAACCTTACAGGTGAGTATCTGCAAGGTACAACGTCAATGACGTCACACTGTCCTCGAAATGCCCGCGTGTGTACACTGATGTGTACGATGAATTGTACACGAACCTGTACACTCACACAACAACGTACATCACTTTGAAAACCAACATAGCATGTACAGCATCACAGCAATGGCAATATATTCTTTAAATATGTTAACATCATTCACGTTATAAATGTAAGTATGTATATGAATAAATGTATATTACATATATAAGCTATATATAGGCAATATATACAGGCTATGTATATATATATGCTATATGTATACATATATATATATGTAAGTATACATATAAATGCATATATATATATATATATATATATATATATATATATATATATATATATATATATGTATATATAAATTAAATGTGTATATTTGTGTATAAACACAAATATAGACATATATATGGTACATATTATATATGTATTTTACACATATTTAAATATACATACAATTCTATATAATAAGAAATGAATTTTGTTCTCATAAAGCATATTTTCTTTTTTTTTGGTTGCATAAACCAGACACGAAGACAAAAATATGGTACGACAACAGAAAGTACACCCCCCAACAACAGAAAATACACCCCTCGACAACAGAAATACACCTCATGTAAGTGTAACCAACTATCAATTGATCTCTTGCGAAAAAACTTGAACATTTATATGACTGAGTCATCACATCAGTTTTTAGCCAATGAATGGCTAGTTTGTAGGCGAGATTTCTTCTTTTTTATCTTTGAGCTTAGAGGCTATAGGTTTCACGCCGACCTTTGACCCTTCGAGACTATCAGTCTGGTCCAAGGCCGAGTAACAAGGTCAAGGCCAAAATAGTAACCGTCAACAATTTCGTTATAAATTTGCAGGCCCCCTTTCGGTCATGTTGCGGTTTCCTCCGTGGTCGGACCGACTTTTTTCGTCTCGTTTGATGGGTGTTTGTTGTCGAGACAGTTTCCGGTCACGAGGGGGATTGGCGTCACGTGGTTGCTATTGACGCTGTTGTTAGGCGCCGGGTTAGGGTTAGTCCCCCTGTTGTTAGGCAGCACGTTGAGCCGGACCTTCTCCGAGTCCGTGTCGTAATACGCCTTCACGTCTTTCATCAGCACCGTGTTGTCGCTGCCGTTCTTGATCGGCGAGCGGTTGATGATGACGGAGGGCTGTTGGGTCTCGACGTTGGTGTACTGTGTGTAGCTGCTGGCACCGGCGCCGCTGCCGCGCCCGAAAAACAGGCACGGCAGAACTTGCCGGAACTCTTTCTTGAAGTTGTCGTTCATCCAAGCGTAGAGGAAGGGGTTGTAGATGGTTGAGCTCATGGCGATGACGTGAGCGATGAAAAAGACGAGGGTGAAGTACTGCCACTCAAAGACTGTGCTGTCGGCGTCTCGGGTTAGGTGGACCATGTTGAGAGGCATCCAGCACAAGACGAAGATGACCACCTGTAATTAGAGTGGACGTTGGGTAATTACAATCAAGAAAATAGCGTCTAATTACGTTTTATTTATACATCAATGTAAAAAATATACGTAAAGTTACGCTTTGGGAGTTCAATGTCAATAAGGTAATTAAAGTTCATGTTTGCTTGATATCGGAATATAAGGAGAAAGTATGGAAATTTCTAAGCTGAGTTTACTTTTTTCCGAACATGAGTCCATCAGAGATGAATGGACTCTGGGTCTATCTGATTCTTCTTCTTCGTTCTTAAATGTAATGTTGGAAAAGATTTCCGGATCTTGTCCAGATCAGCCACGCCACTAATGCCCCTCCACTTGCTACCTATTTCTGATGTCCAGACATTTGAATATTTAAACTTACTCCATAAAAACAACTAGGGTTAGGGTTGGGGCTAGAGAGGGTTAGGGGTTAAGGTTGGGGTTAAAGGCACCAAAATACAGATCTTTCATGCAAATTATTAATGACACGTCCCAATTTCATCCATTTAAATAAATTCTAAAAGTACAAGTTTCATATCTTATTTTTAAAAAGAAATCTTTTATTGTTGTTGGCGAGTGTTAACGTTTTGGCGGGGTTTATCTGGACAAGATCCGGATTACCTCCTACACAACTAAATATTACGTCTCAACCTGTTAAGCGCCATTAAGCCGTCGACTCCGATTTCTGCCTGCTTTACTTTTTGGATTTTCTTTCATAACCTTTGTCCATATCATACCCCAGCAATAACATGTAGTAAAACCAAATCCAATCCACGTAACCAAAATAAATAAAAATAGTTTCCCAGAAACAAGAACATATCGCTAGATCAGATTTCTCCCATGAAAACAAGGCCACGTGCTCATATAAAATTAGTTTGACACAATCAAGGAAGCCATGATTTTATCAAATGTGTTTCATACACGAACGAGCACTTCCGGTAATTATATTTTCATTTTTACCCGAACAGGAAATAAAACTAAACAAGAATTAGAAATGGAAAGGTCAAGGCTGAGATGAAGATAAACAAAATATTACAGAACATTTGGAAGGAATAGTTTTAATAAGGCTGCAAGGCTGAACGATTCAGATGGTGTGGACAGAGGGAGGTCGATACGTATCAAATAAAGCGTCATGAATTATTGTGTACCACGTCACAATGAAGTGTATAAGATGTCGTCATGTAATGTCAATCACATAGCCTCGAGAAAGGACGTGGTCTATCGATCGACGCTGGTCACCCAGCCTTTAGCCCACACAGCAAGCGTTGACCTGATACAATTCACACATCAAAACCTGACGTCATAAAACTCACACATCAAGCATTGACCTGATACACCTCACGCATCAAGCATTGACCTGATACAACTCACACACCCAGCGTTGACCTGATACAACTCACACATCAAGTGTTGACCTGATACAACTTACACATCCAGCGTTGACCTGATACAACTCACACATCAAGTGTTGACCTGATACAATTCACACATCCAGTGTTGACCTGATACAACTCACACATCAAGTGTTGACCTGATACAACTCACACATCAAGTGTTGACCTGATACAACTAACACACCCAGCGTTGACCTGATACAATTCACACATCCAGTGTTGACCTGATACAACTAACACACCCAGCGTTGACCTGATACAATTCACACATCAAATGACGTCATAAAACTCACACATCAAGTGTTGACCTGATACAACTCACACATCAAGTGTTGACCTGATACAACTCACACATCAAGTGTTGACCTGATACAACTCACATCAAAAGTTGCCCTGATACAACTCTCACATCAAAAGTTGCCCTGATAAAACCAATAAAAAGATACTTGAGACAGTTTTAGCTATCGACCGGTCCCCTCCTTAGCTCTGCTGTCGGTGTTAGAAATGAAGCTTGTCTTGTACTCTGATCCTAATCCTTCCTAACCCTAAACCTCTCAACCGAGAGAGGAAATACGTGTCTGCGCTGACTCCTCATTGGTGCGTCGAGTCAGTCCTACTGACTCAGTCTTGTATCGGTCTTTTACATTATTCATTTTAAAAAAAAACTTTGGTAAAGAAAACTATAGGCTGATGTGGGGATTATAAGTCTCAATGTAGAATTTAAATAATCTGGTGGGCAACAATTAATCTTGTTGGGCAACAATTAATCTCATTGGGCAACAAATAATCTGGTGGGCAATAAATAATCTGGTGGGTAATAAATAACCTGGTTGGGCTACAAATAATCTGGTGGGTAATAAATAATCTGGTTGGGCAAGAAATAATCTGGTTGGGCAAGAAATAATCTGGTTGGGCTACACATAATCTGGTTGGGCTACAAATAATCTTGTTGGGCTAGAAATTAACTGGTGGGCTAGAAATAATCTGGTGGGCAATAAATAATCTGGTTGGGAAACAAATAATCTGGTTGGGCTACAAATAATCTGGTTGGGCTACAAATAATCTGGTTGGGCTACAAATAATCTGGTTGGGCTACAAATAATCTGGTAGGCATTTAATAATCTGGTGGGCAATAAATAATCTGGTTGGGCTACAAATAATCTGGTTGGGCTACAAATAATCTGGTTGGGCTACAAATAATCTGGTTGGGCAACAAATAATCTGGTGGATCAGCAAAAAAAAAACCCAACAAAAAACCGACGGTCTGTAGTGGATGAAAATGTAAACGAATTATTTAGCAAACATCAAGGTCGCACAGAATAAGAACTATTCACGCTACTAGCGCTGCACATTGATATGATATTATGCATGTAGTCAAGGCCCAGACAATGCTATCTGGCGCTTAAAGTCTGACTCAAGAACTGGAAATTCCGGAATAATTCAATAATTCTGGCATCAAAACGTGTAGCACTGGTGAGATGGGAACTTGAATATGTTGTCGGGTGATGCAGATACGACTGGTCAGACACGTGATGACCTTGACATTGCGCTACCACTGACAAACACATAGGTGGACGGGAAAAAGGTGCCACTGGCAGTCACTGGAACCATCAAGCTCAGAGCTAACAGTACACCTAGCTCTGAGCTAACACTACACCAAGGTATCAGCTAATCTTCCACCAATATCTGAGCCAACATTCCACCTAGCTCTGAGCTAACACTACACTAAGCTCTGAGCTAACACTACACTAAGCTCTGAGCTAACCCGCCACCAATACCTTAACCAAAACTCCTGCTTTGAGCTAACCTTCCATTTAGCTCATATCTAAACTTCTACCAATCTCTGTTGTAATCAACATCACTGGGAACTGAACCCACTGCTAAGCTCTGAGCTAACCCTACATCAAGTTCTGAGCTAAACTTCCACCAATCTGATCTAACACTCCACCACGCTCTGAGCAAACTCCACCAACCTCAGCTAAACTTCCACCAATCTCAGAGCTAACACTCGACTGAGCTCTGATCTAACACTCGACTGAGCGCTCAAAACTGCTGATCAAAATGCAGCAATCTGCAGAATTCCATCCCATCTCTCGCTTAAACTTGTAAAGAGGAGTCGAGACGGGGGGAAAAGAAGTGTCAATCAAAGTGTCCCATCTTGTCAATCAGCATCTGACAGCGTGTGGGAGCTAGGATATTAACACGGCTAAAGTCAAACGATGATGCGCAATGTCAAGCCGGCTAGAGTTGATCAGGCATGCAATTATCTTTAGGGCGCCTGGTGTTAGAAGCCTGATGGGCGTTTAAAGGGCGTTATACTGCGGTGTTGATACTAGACTGTATAGCTCGCTAACAACCCCTTCAATAATGTTATATAATTTTTACCGAAACTTTTGTTAAATCGTGTAGATCTAGAAATCGATCCTGGGTTTCTTTTGATATAAACACTAGGCAGCAAGACTTGAACGACTTGTAAGAGTTCTATCTAATTAAAAATTTAAAACTAAAACGCTAATTCCGGCATGAGAAACTATGAACTACCGTTTACGTTTAATAAAATATAGTAATCAATCAATAAATATAATCGATTACACTCAGAAAAACAACTGGAATTGGTAACAAAGCAGCCACGCGGATATCGAAACAACAGATACACAAAATCCTTAAATAATTAACACACAAACGTAAAATACAACACAACAAGCACACAAACACCCAAACACATACAAATAAGCACACAACCATCACAATAACCAACATTATTACCAACACAACAGAAATATAAACAATATAAACATAAACACCAACATAAACAACTATAAAAACAACAATAAATCTACAATACGCCACCACCACAACAAAAACAAAAACCCCAGTAAAACGTCTGAAAGTAATTCATCAACACAAAAAAGACTAACCCTTACACAACCACCATTATTAACAACGAAACAAACAGCAAACACCAACAAATAAAACCACAAACACGAAAACACAACCACAAACAAAAACAACACAGCTACCAACACAATAACACAACCATCAACACTAAATCACAACCACCAACACAAAAACAACACAACCACCAACACAAAAACAACACGACCATCAACACAGAAACACAACCACCAATATACAAAACACAACCACCAACACAAATACACAACCACCAATATACAAAACACAACAACCAACACAAAAACACAACAACCAACACAAAAACACAACAACCAACACTAAAACACAACCACTAACACAAAAACACAACCACCAACATAAAACAACACAACCACCAACACAAAAACACAACACCCAACAGAAAAACTCAACAACCAACACAAATACACAACCATTAACATAAAAACACAACCACCAACTCTAAAACACAACCACCAACATAAAAAAACAACAACCAACACAAATACACAACAACCAACACAAAAACACAACCACCAACTCTAAAACACAACCACCACCATAAAAAACACAACCACCAACTCTAAAACACAACCACCACCATAAAAAACACAACCACCAACATAAAAAACACAACCACCAATACGAGTAGCATCTACACACAAACTCCACCAGCATCCAAAATCGCGCTGTTATGCAGTAACTATGGCAACATAAATCAATAAATAGCAAGGAAGGCCAAACGCAGCCAATCATTTATTAGGTCAGGCTACGGTTCTAAGGCGCAGCTCCTGGTTGTACTTCGCTGTCATTTCGTTCTACGTTGTCAGTGTCACTTCGCTGTCATTTCATTCTACGTTGTCAGTGTCACTTCGCTGTCATTTCATTCTACGTTGTCAGTATGTCATTTCGGCGTCATTTCGTTCTACGTTGTCAGTGTCACTTCGCTGTCGTTTCGTTCTACGTTGTCAATATGTCATTTCACTGTCATTTCGTTCTACGTTGTCAGTGTCATTTCGCTGTCATTTCGTTCTACGTTGTCAGTCTGTCAATTTGTTCAACGTTTGTCAGTATGTCATTTCGCTGTCATTTCGTTCAAAGTTGTCAGTACGTATTTCGCCCCACGTTTATCTGTTTGTTATTTCACTGTTATTAAGGTCGCAGTTTGTCAGTATGTCATTTCGCTCCACGTTTGCCAGTATGTCATTTCGCGTAACGTCTTTCAGCGTGTCATTTCGTTCAATGTTTGTTAATATGTCATTTCGTCAACCATCTGTCAGATGTCATTTCGCTGGACTTTTGTCCGTATATGAGATGGGAAACTGTTAGAACATCATTTCACATTATATTTGTCCATATTCCATTTTGTTGATATTAATCAGCTTGTCATTAAAAGTATTTATCCTTTCCGTGTATTTGTTGAGTATTTTCCTGTATGCCACTCCGTTAAATGTTAGTATGTCATCTGTCTGTCACCTACTTAAGTACTCAAGAACGTCTGCTGTTGTCATTTTGTCAGAAACCTCAACAGGTTTTATTATTCTGATCGTTTAGCTGATAGGTTTATTTTGTCGTTATGCTAATACATCGTGGGAGGGGGTGGGGCCCTTATGTGTTCTGTGTCCTGTTTATTGAGGGACGGTGTTGTTTTGTCGTTATCACATTTGGCTGGAAACTTGGATTCGACGGCGTTCTGACGGAATAATTCATGCCGCCATTAGATTGCTATTTTATGTTGTTTTTTGTTTTGCAATGGAGACGTTATTTTGTTGGAAGTTTTAATGATCATGTGTTAGTTATTTCACATTTTCATAACCTGTCATTTGTGAGATGTTTCATATTGTCATGAGCAGTAAGATGATCGCAGTGAAATGTTCATAAAAAGAACAAATTGAGTGTGTGTAGGATACGTTAATTGTTTTTTGGCGTTGTTTTTGTCGTGACATAACCTATCACAGTTGTGTCAATTTAATATTGTCCTAAAGTTGTCAATTTAATGTTGTATCTTGTCCTAAAGTTGTCGGTTCAGTGTTGTATATTGTCCTAAAGTTGTCAGTGTAATGTTGTATCTTGTCCTAGAGTTTTCAGTTTAATGTTGTATCTTTTCATAAAGTTGTCAGTGTAATGTTGTATCTTGTTCTAATGATGTCATATTAATCATGTATCTTGTCCTAAAGTTGTCAGTTTAATGTTGTATATTGTCTTAAAGTTGTCAGTTTAATGTTGTATATTATCTTAAAGTTGACAGTTTAATGTTGCATATCGTCTTAAAGTTGTCCTTGTCATGTTTCTCTAAAGTTGTTGTCAGTTTGATGTTGTATGTTGTCCTAAGGATGTCCTTTTGATGTTGTCCTAAATTTGTTGTCAGTTGTATCGTGTCTTTAAGTTGTCAGTTTAAAGTTGTATCTTGTCTTAAAGTTGTCAGTTGGATGTTGTATATTGTCCTAAAGTGTTCAGTTTGATGTTGTATCTTGTCCTTAAGTTGTCAGTTTAAAGTTGTATCTTGTCCTAAAGTTGTCAGTTTAATGTTGTATATTGTTCTAAAGTTGTCAGTTTAATGTTGTATATTGTCCTAAAGTTGTCAGTTTAATGTTGTATATTGTCTTAAAGTTGTCAGTTGGATGTTGTATATTGTCCTAAAGTTGTCAGTTGAATGTTGTATCTTGTCCAAAAGTGTTCAGTTTAATGCCGTATCTTGTCCTAAAATTGTCAGTTTAAAGTTGTATCTTGTCCGAAAATGTTCAGTTTGATGATGTATCTTGTCCTGAAGTTGTCAGTTTAATGTTGTATATTGTCTTAAAGTTGTCAATTTTATGTTGTATATTGTCTTAAGGTTGTCCTTGTTATGTTTCTCTAAAGTTGTTGTCAGTTTGATGATGTATGTTGTCCTAAAGATGCCCTTTTGATGTTGTCCTAAATGTGTTATCAGTTTAATGGTGCCCTATAGTTTTCCATTTGTAGTATATCTTATTCTGAAGTTGTCAGTTCTACGTTGTCTTAAAGTTGTCCGTTTGACTGATGTTGTTAACAATTTAATCGATGTAGTGTAACCTTCTTCCACTGTCCTAATACAACATACAGCCTTATAAACTTACACCCATTATATTCTACGCGTGTGTGTTTATTTCTAATCTTTTAAGCCTGTCTGCTCACTTGATGCTAATGCAAACTCTCTCAATCCCAAATGTGTCGACCTTTAGCTGGAGGCGGTTCCTTAGGATAACGCCATTACAAAAAAAAATCTTTTCATTTTTTAGGTCGGTTTGGCGTATGAAACAGTTCCGTATTTTCTGAAGTTATTGAGACGATAAAAGATAGAATTGCTTTTAAAAATGGTGGAACGCAAAAGTTTCAGAACAATCAACAAAACTAATTTGCAGGTTCAACTTAACTTTACAAAGGAAGATTAAATCGTCAGGAGTTTCAATGAAAAAATGGGGTATAACTAGAAATCTTCAATCCATTTGGGTGAAATTTTACTTCCGGTATGTAAGGTCCATTCATTTTTTGTGATATACTTGATTGTGAGAAAAAATTATTAGGTAAAGTAAAATTTCAATTGTGATAATAATTGTAACTATTCACCATAGCAAACCTTTACATACTGACCAACCTTTTACATCTAGGATCTCACCAAAGCAACCCTTTACCCTACGACCGATCCTTAACGTCTGACTACTTACCACGACAACCCATCACGACAAACTACTCACCACGACAAACCTATACATTGTGACCAACCCTTTATGCCTAACTACTCACCATGACAACCCTATACATTGTGACCAACCCTTTATGCCTAACTACTCACCATGACAACCCATTGCGTCTAACTACTCATTATGGCAACCCTATACATTGTAACCAACCCATTACGATAAAGTGCTCATCATGACAACCCTATACATTGTGACCAATCCTTTACCACAAAGTACTCACCATGTCAACCCATTGTGTCTAACTACTCACCATGACAACCCTATACACTGTGACCAACCCATTACAACAAAGTACTCACCATGGCAATCAACATCTTATTGGTCCGTTTCTTCCTCTTGATCTCCATCTCTTCCCTCTCCCTAGTTCTGGCCCCGCTGCCAATCTTGACCTTCGACCTCTTCTTCAGCGCCAGCGACACCATGGTGTAGCAGAAGGAGATGATGCTACAGGGCACGAGGTACTGCAGCACCAGACTGGTCACCGTGAAGAACTGTCGCGCCTGGGGCTTGGGCCACTGCTCAGAGCACGAGTACAGTGTCGTGTCGTTCCCCTTCTCCACCTCGTGGTAGATCCCCAGGGGTAGGGAGATGGAGATCGAGATGATCCAGATGGCGAAGATCATCAGCACACACATGTAGACTTTCATCCGGGGTTTGAAGGGGTACACGATGACAAAGTACCGGTCGACGGCGATGGCGGTGGAGGTTAGGGTGGAGACGTAGACGGAGATGCAGAGTATCATAGGGACGATGTGACACAAGGCTTTTCCGAAGATCCAAGAGTTGAGGAAAAATGAAATGGGGGTGAAGGGAACGGCCAGTAGACACATGAGGATGTCGGAAATGGCCAGGTTTGTTATGAAAATGTTTGTGATCGTCTGCATGGTTTTGTTGCGCATGACGACGAAGGCCACGAGGCAGTTTCCGGTGAGGCCGAGGAGGAAGATGAGGGAGTAGAGGAAGATGAAGAGGCTCATGACCCAGGGGGTGTGCACGACCTGGGACTGCATGGTGGTGGTTTGTGTCACGTGGGTGCTGACGTCAGGAGGGAGGCTGCTTGACTCACTCATGGCGGCTAGGCTCATCCTTGCCTGGAAAACATTGGCATGTGGTTAATATAGGCGCTAGGCTAAAGTTTGAACACATTAGTAATTTGATTTATTGGTGGGTAGGCTCATCCTTGCCTGGAAGACATTAGGCATGTGGTTAATATAGGCGCTAGGCTAAAGTTTGAACACATAGAATTTTTTTTTGCTATTTCTTTAACAGTGATAGGTTTAATAGATACTTGGAACAAATACACGAAATTATACAGATACATTGAACAAATACCAATAATCTACACAGAATCACGGAACAAACAGAGTTTCTTCCAGGCATTTCTTTGGGTGACCCCTCCCCCCCCCCCGAAGAAACTATATAAAAATATATATATAAATAAATACTTTTAACAGTGTCCGCCCCCCCCCCAAATAAATTTCAAATGCACCCCGGAGAAAAAAGTCTAGAAGAAACTCTGGGAACAAATACAAAGAATGTATACAGAAACACGCAACAAATACGCGAAATGTCTATAGAAACATGGAACAAATACACGAAATGTATACAGGAACATGGAACAAATACGCGAAATGTATACAGAAACATGGAACAAATACACGAAATTTATACAGAAACATGGAACAAATACACGAAATGTATACAGGAACATGAAACAAATACACGAAATGTATACAGAAACATGAAACAAATACACGAAATGTATACAGAAACATGGAACAAATACACGAAATGTATACAGAAACATGAAACAAATACACGCAATGTATTCAGAAACATGGAACAAATACACGAAATGTATACAGAAACATGAAACAAATACACGAAATGTATACAGGAACATGGAACAAAACCTGAAACACAGAAAAATAGATAAAAAATAAACGCTAATCGCTTAAAGTTGCAGTGATATGCAATACAGATTATTAGAATCTATTAATAGCTACCAGACACCACCCACACACCAATTATTTATAAAGAGTAGTATCGTCATCGGCCTAGGCTGTTCCATGTTATTAAATGTATTACACCAATCTATAAACGTCTGCCGTCGACATGCGAGATTGCTCGCTCTCTTATACCATGGATGTAGAGTCAGCTACGTTAGAGTGAATAATAGTGTCGTTTAAATTATTTCCCTTTGTTACACAACGATAAGGTTATCTAAATTACTTCCCTTTGTTACACAGCTAAAGGTCATCTAGATTATTTCCCTTAGTTACACACCGATAAGGTCGTCTAAATTACTTTCCTTAGTTGCACAGCTAAAGGTCATCTAGATTATTTCCCTTAGTTACACAACGATAAGGTCGTCTAAATTACTTCACTTAGTTACACAGCTGAAGGTCACCAAGATTACTTCCCTTAGCTACACAGCGATTAAAAAGTAAGAGATGAGGTATGACAGGTACCCATGAGAGCTGAGCGGTCTCAGGAGCGTCATTCAAACGCAAGTCCAAAACGAGATCCGAACTCGAGTTAGCAGCCAAACGCTCTACCATTCGACCATCCCTATAAAACGATGTGGTCTACTAGATTACTTCCCTTAGCTATATAAGGATAAGGGCAACTAGATCACCTCCCCTGGTTACAAAACGCAGACCAAGTTTTGATTTCTCTCCTTACTAACATAACGAGATAGATATCTAGATTACTCCCTTAGTCGTTAGTCATACAATAAGGTCAACTAGATTACTTCCCTTGGTTTCACTGCGAAAAGTCACATCGATTACTTCCCTTATTTACATTAAGATAACGGCATCTAGATTACTTCCCTTAGTCCTACCATTGCTCAAGTCCTAAAATTTACCAAACTTAAAATTTGGCATCGTATTTACGTGAGTTTTTTTCCCCTTAGGTTACCGGCCGATTAATTAAATTAAAATCATGTTTCAGAGTTAATTAGCAAAGTAGGTCATATACTTTTTTAGAGAATTAATTTGTGCGCTCATTAAATTTATAATTGTACTTTGGATTGAAAAGGCATTTTGTATGTGCTTAAACCATAATATAAAAATAGATATAATATTTTTTTTAACCAATAATCTAAAAAGAATCAAAATGGATGTGTTTAAAAATAACCATTAAAATACATAACATTTATTTCTTTTACAAATTATCTTAAAAGCTTACATAACACATTTGTTTAAAAAGAATCAATAAAAGGTTTTTGTTTTAAAAATAATCTTAAAAAATAAAACAAAATGTATATATTTTAAAAATAATCTCACCAAAAAAATCAATGACTTTAAATATACGTTTGAACTGAGAACAAAACGCATGAGTTGAATTAGCCACTAAAGTAAACAGTGTGTGTCGTCTGCTTTCTGGGTCATGTCAGGACTGTTTTTGTTGTGGGCCGGGCAGCTTCTGGCACTGCCCCAGGGCACTGGCCAGTTGATCCCGTGGACAGGCCCTGGTCAATGTCCATGTCGTGCTAATTAGTGTAACAAGCTGGGTCAGTCACATGACCGGTGGGCATGTTGCAAAAGCCTGGGGTGGGGTCAAGGCTGAAAGGTCAAGGTCGACGCTATTGGCTAGGGTGGGCGGGGGAGGGTCAACGACACAAGGGGTGGGGGTCAATGCCATAGGCAGGGTGGGATTTAACAAAATAAGAGGTGTGTGTGTGGGGGGGTCATAATGACACAAGGGGTGGGGGGGTTATAATGACACAAGGGGTGGGGGGGGGGGCTGTCAATGCCATAGGCAGGGTGGGAGTAATCGATTCAGCCATGAGTAGGGGTCACGACACAAAGATCGGGGGTCAATGAAACAAGGGTGGGAGGGGGAGCCTCGAGGCATTTAGCAGTAGGGGTCACCAACACAGGTGGGGATGAGGTCAACTCCATAGGTCGGGATAGGGGTCATCGAAACAGACCGGGGTGTGGGTTACAGCGAGATTGTCAGAGTCGATTTTGTCCTTAAAGCAGGGTCATACATTTCATTAATACAACATATAGAAAACCTTTTATAATAAGAAAGTTTTAAAACTAATAAAAAAGAAACTAAAACTTTCTATAGTAAAAGCTTTGGTCGCTAAAATCTGTCAGGGATTTCATTATCGACCAACGCTTTTACTAAAGAAAGTTATTAATAAGAAAAATATTATTTTCTTATTTCAGTACATTTAAAATGTTTGTCATTACAACACTTTTATTATTTCTTTTTTTCCCCTACTTTTTAGTAATTAGTGATTCGTAAAATTAAAATAGTAAGCCGATATTTGTTTTTAAATACAATTAGTAGGTCACTAATAACTTTCCATTTTGTTCGTTCTTAATACAGCAGAAACCTTGTTTGAAAACGGTGTTAACTGGAATTTACAATTATCTTCCCCTTATAAACGTCCTTTATAGCTGTCATGCGTGAAAACATTCGTGAACAACAGTTCATCAGTCGCCCAGTGGCGTAGCGGCCCTTCCCGGCGCCCGGGGACAAACTTTCAATTTGGCGCCCCCCCCCCCCCACCCCTTAAACTTTTGATTTGCACCCCCCCCCCCCTCACACTATTTATAATGCAAAAATGCAGCTAAAATGACATTTTAATTTGTTTTTACAACCCATTTTGGCGCCCCCTAAGGTCGGCACCGGGGACATATGCACACCCCCCCATCGCTACGCCTCTGCAGTCGCCTGGCTGGCTCAGTTATACCGAGTGCTTTAACCTGTTATGTTCTTTTGTGTTATTGAATACAAGAATATTTAAACACTAATATCTAATTACGTTTAAAATAAGATATTATTGCGTTGTCGTCGGGAATGACTATTTTTTTGGGAAAGTTAAAGCGAAATCCTGAATTTATTTTATTTTTTTTACATTTTATTGAGATTTGACCACAAACCCCTACCCCCCCCCCCCCTCCATTCACATACAAGGCCAAAGCAAAAACTTGCAAAATGCAACCTTACATCTGTTATAAAAGAACAAGTTTATAATTCATCAAATTTGATCGAGACTGATTAATGGTTTGGAACTTTTTAAAATTATTAGTCTGTTTAAATGTATTTTGTGTTAACTGAGGATTCAACGTGTCTATTTAATGTATGCATTAATTTTGTCCTTAATTAAGCATTACAATTCTCACGCTCGCCGTAGCCCTTAATTATGTCCTAAACTAAACATTACGATTCTGTAGATTGTTAATTATGTCCTAAACTGAACATTACGATTCTGTAGAAAGTTAATTTTGTTCTAAGCTGAACATTACGATTCTGTAGATTGTTAATTATGTCCTAAACTGAACATTACGATTCTGTAGAAAGTTAATTTTGTTCTAAGCTGAACATTACGATTCTGTAGATAGTTAATTTTGTTCTAAGCTGAACATTACGATTCTGTAGATAGTTAATTTTGTTCTAAACTGAACATTACGATTCTGTAGATAGTTAATTTTGTTCTAAGCTGAACATTACGATTCTGTAGATAGTTAATTTTGTTCTAAACTGAACATTACGATTCTGTAGATAGTTAATTTTGTTCTAAACTGAACATTACGATTCTGTAGATAGTTAATTTTGTTCTAAGCTGAACATTACGATTCTGTAGATAGTTAATTTTGTTCTAAGCTGAACATTACGATTCTGTAGATAGTTAATTTTGTTCTAAGCTTAACATTACGATTCTGTAGATTGTTAATTATGTCCTAAACTGAACATTACGATTCTGTAGATTGTTAATTATGTCCTAAACTGAACATTACGATTCTGTAGAAAGTTAATTTTGTTCTAAGCTGAACATTACGATTCTGTAGATTGTTAATTTTGTTCTAAGCTGAACATTACGATTCTGTAGATTGTTAATTATGTCCTAAACTGAACATTACGATTCTGTAGAAAGTTAATTTTGTTCTAAGCTGAACATTACGATTCTGTAGATTGTTAATTATGTCCTAAACTGAACATTACGATTCTGTAGAAAGTTAATTTTGTTCTAAGCTGAACATTACGATTCTGTAGATAGTTAATTTTGTTCTAAGCTGAACATTACGATTCTGTAGATAGTTAATTTTGTTCTAAACTGAACATTACGATT